AACTCACGTCTGTTTACAAAAACCAGACGTGAATTCACGTCTGTTTGTGTGAACAGACGTAAATTCACGTCCGTTTACTCAAAACCGACGTGAATTCACGTCTGTTTCTCCATATCAGACGTTACTTCACGTCTGGTTTTTGTAAACAGACGTGAGTTCACGTCTGTTTTACAATAAACAGACGTGAAGGGGCTTCGTTTTTAAAAAAAAAATTCCCGGCCGCATCCTATGCTCGCATCAGTACTATCAGATCTGCATGTACCGCGCGCGAAGAACCTCCAGCTCGCAGCTTTCTCGCACCCAAGTTTCATTTTCGGTCTCTCCCTCTCATTTTCCTCTTGTCCATGAAGTAGCCGTGAGCTACTCAGTATTTCGGTCTCTCCTCTTCAGCTCTTCAAGGTCGTAGCCCTCCCTCCATTGCGTCGTGCGTTCTGCAGTAGCCGTGTTGCAGCAGCTCGCCGTTGAAGCCGTGAAGATCTGCGTGTACCGCAAAGAACCTCCAGCTCACAGCTATCTCGCCGTTAAAGCCGTGAAGCTGACACGCACTGTAGTCCGTTGATTCGAAGGCACGCCCAAATAGTGAAGGTAAGTTTATTCAACCGTTGCATTGTGGGTTTAGTGTGTTGTGCGTGGGTTTGAGTAGCTTGAGGAGTTTTGAATTGGTTTCTGAGGTTGCTGTTTAAATTTTTACTGAAGAATTGTGTTTAGATAGTTTTAAATTTGTATATATTGATTTGGGTAGAAATTTTAAAGATTTCAAACCTTGTTAATCTTGTTAGAAAAATAATGCATACAAGGTGTTTGTCAAAATGCCTAAGAGGGATTGCATTAGATAGTTTGCTATATGTATTGAATTTAGATTAAGGATTGGGTATACATTAAATGATTAATGAAAAAATTGCATTTAGATAAGTTAAAATTTGTTTATATTGATTGGGTAATAGATTTGAAGTTCGAAATCATTTGCTTGGAATTGGCATGATTTATGTTGTAATTGGAATGAATCGGATTCAATTGATATAATTAGTTTTGAATTTGGTTAATGTTTATTGGGACTATGCTGAATGGAATTAAATTGTTTATAATTCCTTAGGTAGTAACGGAATGGATCATAGTTGGATGAATGCTTTGAGAACAAGTGATGAATATGAGAACGGAGTAGAACGATTTATTGAATTTGCTAAACAGAATGCTCCTAGCAATAACGGAATGTATTTTTGTCCCTGTGTCAAGTGTTTAAATAAAAGGCGACTAAGTGTTAATGATATTAGAGATCACTTGCTTTGTGATGGTATAAATCTTCGATATACAAGATGGATATGGCATGGTGAAGTAGGAACAAGTTCAATACTCGAAGAAGAGGAAGTTATGGATGATGTAAATGATAGAATGAGCGATATGATTCGTGATGTAGGGGTAGAGTTCTTTGTGCGATCACATGCAAATAATAACTTGAAGAGTGATGCAGAGATGCCTTTGTACCCTGGGTGTTCTAAGTATACACGATTGACAGCTGTATTGAAATTGTTCAGTTTAAAAGCAAATAATGGGTGGACTGACAAAAGTTTCACAGAGTTGCTTCAATTGATTAGTGATATGCTTTCAATTGATAACGTTCTTCCAAATCGTGTGTATGAGGCAAAGAAAATCTTGTCTCAGATGGGTATGGGCTATGAAAAGATACACGCTTGTCCTAATGACTGTGTATTATACAGAAAAGAGTATGCTGGTCTACGTGAGTGCCCAAAATGTAAAACTTCACGATACAAGGTGAAAAAGAACATGGACTGTGCTGGTAACTATGATGGTGATGAGACAAGTAAAGGGCAACCTTTGAAGGTGTTATGGTATCTTCCGATAATACCACGATTTAAGCGCTTATTTGCTAATGCAACAGAAGCGAAGAAGTTAAGATGGCATTTTGATGAGAGAATATCATATGGAAGATATCTTGGCACCCTGCTGATTCTCCTCAATGGCAGAAAATAGATGAAATGTTTCGGAATTTGGTCTTGAACCAAGAAATCTTCGCCTTGGGCTTTGTACAGATGGAATCAACCCTTACGGTACTCTTAATAGCACACATAGTGCATGGCCAGTACTGTTGGTGATTTACAACCTACCTCCCTGGTTATGTATGAAGCGCAAGTACATGATGCTTTCTATGATGATTTCAGGACCGAAACAACCAGGAAACAATATCGATATCTACTTGGCACCTTTAATTGAAGATTTGAAGATGTTGTGGGAAGAAGGCGTGGATGTGTTTGATGCATACAAGCAGGAGTCCTTTAAGTTGCGTGCCATGATCTTTACAATGATAAATGACTTTCCTGCATATGGAAATCTATCAGGATACAGTGTGAAGGGGCATAAAGCATGTCCTATATGTGAAGCAGACACATACTTCCACCAACTTAAGCACGGAAGGAAGACAGTTTACCTCGGTCACAGGAGGTTTCTTGATTGGTTCCACCCATACCGGAGATTGAAAAAGGTTTTTAATGGCTCACCAGAGCATGGCATGGCTCCAAAGGCATTAACTGGAGAGGAAGTTTACCAGCGAGTTGAAAGAATCAATGTCATTTTCAGTAAGACTCAAAAAGCTGCAAGTGAGAAAAACATATGGAAGAAGAGGTCTATTTTCTTTGATCTTCCATATTGGCGCAGTCTTGATGTAAGACACAGTATCGATGTGATGCATGTGGAAAAAAATGTGTGTGATAGTCTTATCGGTACTCTTCTGCACATACCTGGAAAAACTAAAGACAGAATTAATGCAAGACTTGATCTGGCTGAAATGGGCATTCGAGAGCGCTTACATCCACAATTGAGAGAGGGTGGTAAGCGGGCTTATATGGAACCTGCGGCCCACACATTGTCTAAAGTCAAAAAAACAAGCTTGTGTTGGTGTTTGCATGACATCAAGGTGCCCCAGGGGTATTCTTCTAATGTGAAAAGGCTTGTCTCAATGCACAATTTGAAGTTAGTGGGAATGAAGTCTCATGATTATCATGTACTGATGCAACAACTATTACCCGTAGCTATTCAAGGCACAATGAGAGATGATGTGAGGAGCACTATAACTAGATTATGTATCTTCTTCAATGCTATTTGTAGCAAAGTCATTGACATAGAGAAATTGGATGAATTGGAAAAAGAGGGTTATGTTATCTTGTCTCAACTAGAAATGCACTTTCCCCCAGTATTTTTTGATATCATGGTGCATTTGATCATTCATTTAGTGAGGGAGATAAGGCTTTGCGGTCCTATTTTTCTAAGATGGATGTATCCATTTGAGAGGTACATGAAAGTCTTAAAGGATTATTCTAAAAATCCTTATCGACCTGAAGCATCAATTGTTGAAAGGTATGTAGCGGAAGAGGCTATGGAATTTTGCAAAACATATCTATCTATCGCTAAGACACCATCTCGGCATGAAAACGGTATAAGTAAAGGAATCAGGGGGCTGAAGGTAAAGAGTATGGGTCGTGAAGAAGTGTTACAAGCGCACTTATACATATTGAATAATATGGAAGAAGTGCAGTCGTATTTAGATGATCACAAAAAAAACTTTAAAAGAAAAGTATCCAAGGAAAAGTGATATGCAGATAGCTAATGAGCATAACAAAACATTTATAACATGGTTCAGTGAAAATTTTTTGAGAGAGGCCAATGTATCTGATACAATAAAATGGTTAGCTTGGGGTCCTTGTTTTGAAGTTATCACTTGGAGTGGATACGACATAAATGGATATTCCTTCTACACAAAAGCTCAAGATGACAAAAGTACTGTGTAGAATAGTGGGGTAATGGTGGTTGCTGAAGCGATGCATTTTTCGAGTTCGAAAGATAAAAACCCCAAATTGGCATCTATGGCTTATTATGGAGTTATTGAAGAGATATGGGAGGTAAACTACACCAATTTCAAGATTCCTGTCTTCAAATGTAAATGGGTCAACAACAATAGTATTGAAATAGATCAACAATTTGGATTTACATTAGTTGATCTTGGCAGGGTTGGTTATGCAGATGAGCCCTTCATTTTAGCAAGCCAGGCAAAACAAGTATTTTATGTTACTGATCCAGCAAATAAAAAATTGTTTATTGTCCTTCAAAGTAAAAAGCAGAAGGACAGTGATCCTACCATGAATCTTGATGAGACACCACCTTTTGCTTCAAATCCGCCTAGACCAAGTGAAGTAGAATTGGTAGATAATGATGAATATGCTGCAAGAGATGATCATTGTGAAGGGATATGGGACAATGCATAAAGTCAGATTAAGTAATGTAATTTTGCAACGTACCTTGTGTTATTTTCTTTCATTTATTTCATAGCAATGTACTTGATATTATTTATATATTAATACAATTCACTTATTTATCTAATTTTGGTTTTCCAACAGGCACATGGAGGAGGATTTTGATGCCAATATGGAGGAGGGTTGTGAGAGAGATGTGGAGGAGGATTATGACATCGATGATGTCAATCAGCAGGAAGGAAGGAAGGTTAGAGGTAGTACAAGGCTACCAAAGTTAGCAGTACGTCATGGTCGTATTCAGAAGAGGCATGTGGATTTTGATGCCAATATGAATCCAATTGGTGAAGAGAAGGACAGATTCATTAGCTATATAGGCTCCGTTGCCCGAAGCAAAGTTAATATTCTATGGCCTAATTGGAAGTCAATTTCTAAGGAGACGAGGGATAGGATTTGGGAATATATTTTGGTATGTCACTTTCTAATTTTATTTCATTTGTTTTATTGTAAATATAGTTATAACTAAGATCTTTAACTCAAACATATATATTTTTCTTTGCAGCAAATGTATGACATCCCTCGTACTGAGCAAATGAAAAAGCATTTGTTGCAGCAAGTTCGTCAGCGCTGGAAAGATTTTAAGCACACACTCACGAGCCAGTATGTGCGAGGGCCTAAGAAAGATGATGATCCGCGCGAAAAATACTCCTTCCTTGATCCAGATGATTGGAGGAGGTTTGTGGCATCACGGCATGATCCTAAATTTCAGGTACATTGCCTTATAAAACATTTAATTTTGATTTAATTTACTTCACTTACTCAATTTACTTTGTTTTCTTTTCCACAGGAATTAAGTGCGATGAATAAAGAAAGGCAAGCTAAAAATTTATATCCGCACTATTTATCCCGTGGAGGTTACAAGATGCTTGAGGAGAGGATCATGCAGGATGACTTTAAGGCGATGCAGGAAGCTGCAAAATCTGATCCTAGTATCGTTGTTCAGACCCCACCTCCTCCTCCACGTCATAGAAAATGGAAGGAAGCAAGGATAAAGAAGGGTCAATATATTAATCCAGCAGTTGCTGAGATTGCTAAAAAAATTGTAAGTTGTATAATTCAAATAACTTTAACTTATGGTAATATTCCTTATATTTTATCATTAATTTTCATTTATACTGTCATTAATTTTTTATCATACTTAAAATGTTATAGGAGGTACTTGAAGAGCAAAGCAGTGAAGGTTCATTTAGTCCGAGTGGAAGGATGGACATTTTAGCGACAGCGATTGGGAAGCCTGATCACCCCGGACGCGTTAGAGGAGAAGGGAGGACAGTTGGTCTTACCCAATATTTTAGACAAACTTCACGAGCTTCTCTACGAAGTCAGCCCACTGATGAGATGATAGCTAAACTTCGAGACCAAGTTCGTGATGAGCTCCAATCTGAGCTAGAGGTCAAGATTGAGGCCCAGTTACGCTAGTCACTTCGAAAAGAGCTTATGGCTGAGCTTCATGATGAGATGAAATCTATGGTCTCTAGCATGCAAATTGGGACAGTTCAACAACAATGCACACCCCAGGTTTGTAATCAATTTCACTTAAATTGATGTTGAGTTTTACCAACGTTTTTTATTTAATTTAATAACTGCATTTCTCTCATTTAGGATTCCCCCGTCTTTCCTAGCACTAAAGACAGTTGTAATCCACCGGGGGCATTGGGAGAGCATGATCCTAGTAGTCCCACGCTGGACTTTGGACAACCTTGTTGTCTTCGTTTAGAGGTCCCAAGGATGCGTGTTGTTGTTGACGCTCTCCTCTACAATCAAGGGAGCACTATCCATCACCAACATATTCAAGAGGACCAAGTGAGGGTTACAGTTACCACTGTTCGAGAAGGAGAGACAGGTGCGGATGTGCCATTCCCGACTGCTAAAGTTGTGAAGTTAGGTCAGGCAATTGGAACTTTCATTCTTTGGCCTAGATACCTTGTTGATGAGGAGATAATACCTGTGATGGTAAGAAAATGTTATTCTATATTGTGTGCATTTTTTTAACATAATACTTCTAATACTTATTATGTTTATTTGATATTTCATTAGGACCAGGAAGATGTTAATAGATATCCCTGCTTGGCACAATTATATGAGGAATATAAAACAATTAACAAGGTCGACATAAAGATGCCTGTAGGGATTGTGGGTGAAGAAAAATCATATTTCTTTGGACTTGACAACAAAGACATCAGGGATTTCTTATCCTTGAAGGAGTTGGACATAGCATGGGTTCAATTAGCAATCATGTAAGTTTACTTGTTCATTTCTAACTTAAATTTCTCATTTCTTACTTTCACATACTAATAATTATCTTATTTCAATTCAATGATAGCTTCTTCCATAACAAATGCATGTCATCAATGGAGAAGAGAAATTTGTATGGATATTTATGCCCTGCAAGTGTCTAGAAGAAGTACAACCCACTAGATAGGAGAATCAGATATGTGGGCAATACGATTGGAGACACTAAATTACCTTGTTATTTGGCACCAATTATTGAAGGGCAAGTAGCTTAATTATATTTATTTATACATACTTAATTGTTAAGAATTATTGTGATATCCAGTAATGTATAAGTCTTACTCTATGATGCAGTTGTCATTGGAGTTTGTGTGTTTCTTGTCCCATTGACAATGTCATCTACTGGTTTGATCCCTTGGGTCGTCGTCCAAGCAGTGAGATGAGGGGCGTTTTCAACACGTAAGTACCTTAATGTAGATCAATAATTTTGTTTTCAATATAAATTATTTAACTTGTGCTTTCATTTGCTTATAGGGCTTTAAAGACTTATTATATAACCAGTGGGAAGCGTTCCGGCAAAAATGGCTCAACAACTTAGGTATATCCTAGTGTGAGTACTTTAAATTGAAGTTCTTTCATTGATAACAGTTATTTTATATATGAATTTGGATTATCATTTCCTTGTGATTTGTAGTGTGCTAAGCAACAAGGGCCAACAGAGTGCGGATACTACATTATCCGTTATATGTTTGAGATTATTGAGAGCGGATGTATCACAAAATTTGATGAGGTAAGTAAATATAATTTTAGTTTTGTAATAGTTGAATTTTTAAATTGAATTGTTATTTATTTTATTTTCTTCCTATGTTTAAATTTGTTCATTTGTCAATTTACAGATTTTTGATAATGATTGTTCATATACTATTGATGACATTAACTTCATCCGAGACCTTTTGGCACAGCAACTGCTTCAAGAATTGTGGTCCAGGGATTGATCAAGTTTATGTTTAGAGACAATAGGATCAATATTGACTTTTGTAATTTGTTCTTCTTTTTTGACTAGTTAGTTAACTAATGTGTCTATATAGATGAAGTTATGATGTTGATATATCTTGGCTGAAAATATTGACTGGTTCATACTATTTCAACTTGCTGGAAAGTGGCTATTATGGCTATTGTGTGGCTGTAGGGGAAGTAGTATATACGAATTGAATCTTTTTTTTAAAAAAAAACAGAGGACATTCACGTCTGTTCACCGAAACAGAAGTAAAAAATCGATTTTTTACTTCTGTTTGAAGAAAAAGACGTGAATTCATGTCTATTTCTCAAAAAACAGATGTGAATTCACGTCTGTTTATTGATAGAACAGACGTGAATTCACACTATTTCAACTTGCTGGAAAGTGGCTATTATGGCTATTGTGTGGCTGTAGGGGAAGTAGTATATACGAATTGAATCTTTTTTTAAAAAAAACAGAGGACATTCACGTCTGTTCACCGAAACAGAAGTAAAAAATCGATTTTTTACTTCTGTTTGAAGAAAAAGACGTGAATTCATGTCTATTTCTCAAAAAACATATGTGAATTCACGTCTGTTTATTGATAGAACAGACGTGAATTCACGTCTGTTTTTTGAGAAACAGACGTGAATTTACGTCTGTTTTTGCTAAGAGACGTGAATTAACGTCTGTTCATAACAGAAGTAAAAAGGGGGTACTTTTTATGTCCCTTCTTTTCATGTCCCCTGCAAAACAGACGTAAAAAGTCATTGAAAACAGAAGTAAAAAGTCTTCATTGTAGTAGTGTCATTAAGAGCTTGCACTCCTTGCATTGAAACGCTAGGCATTATTCATGTTAGAGTATGCTCATAGTGAAAAGTAAATTAGAGGAAAGAGAAGTTGCATAGATCCTCTCTCTGTACTGTTGTAAAATAGTTAAGAGATGGTAAGAGCAACTGGAGGAGTAAGAGAACTCCTAAGACAGATTGGCTTAATCACCTAAAGAGACAAATAGGTGGCCTGGGGAATTGACATAAAGCCTAAGAGAATGCTATTGGTTCTTAGAACAGTTTTGGGAAATTATCAGTTAGGTAACCAACTGAGTGGAGGTGACTTTACTTAGTCCTATGGTCTAGAGTCTCCCAAAGATCTTAATATAGTTCAGACTAATGATAGTATTCCAGGGTTATAGTAGATCTTGAAGAGGCTTATGGTAGAGCATAGTAGCTCCTGAGGTCATGGTGGACCGAGCCTAAAGGAAGTGGTCAAGCCATAAGAGTAAGAGTATAGTACCTCTTTGGGGAAGACAAGGATTGGGGATGAGTTTGAGATGTGGAAACCTCCTTCGGTTGTAAACCCGCGCCGCGAGAGTAACCATGACTTTCTTCCATATAACCTTATCATTGATTAGGTTGGGCTTAGTTTCCTTCTGATTAACAGAGGAAAGCCACAGTTAGAAGAATTAGAGCCATAAGACCTAAACAAGAGGTATTCAGGCTAGCTCTGGATATAGGAAGAACCCCTTGTGATACAGAGATAGACTGAGCATTGACAGGCAGATCCTTAAGATAAGGCGAGATACAAGAATATAAGCTGTAAAGACCTGACTAAAGATAGAACAAGAAGGGTCTAAGACAGCAAAGTACCAGGGTTGAGCTTATCAGTATCAGTGCCTCAAATTCTTGTCAGCACTATTCAGTTAAGCATGCTCAGGCAAGAGTAAACCAGGGAAGGGTGACCCTAGGAAGTAAGGTAAGAGAGTGCAAAAGCCAGAAATGTTAGCTATTTTGGCAAGAATGCACTAAGTCCAGTAGAAATGGAAGATAAAGTTAAGAAAATTGTTAGGCTATTTAGTGTCCCTAAGCAATATTGTTTTGAATCGAGACCTGAGATTTACTTTGAACTTTTAGAGGTTCTTACAGAAAGAAATGGACACTACTCTTAGATTCAATATAGCCTACCATCCACAGACGGATGGGTAGATAGAAAGATAGATTCAGATGTTAGAAGATATGTTACGAGCATGTGTGCTTGATTTCGGCAATAATTGGGTTATGCACTTACCGTTAGCTGAATTTGCCTACAACAACAGTTTCTATGCAAGTATCTGAATGGCGCCATATGAAGCACTTTATAGGAGGTAACGTAAATCTCCCTTATGCTAGATAGAGCTTAGTGAAAGAAGTACGTATAGTCCTGATAGTGGATCAGACTTCCCAGCAGATTAAGGCTATTCAGCAAAGACTTTTAATGGCTCAAAGTAGATAGAAGAGTTATGCAGATATGAGAAGGAGACCGTTAGAGTTTGAGGTTGGTGATCACATTTTCCTCAAAGTGTCACTAACGACAGGAGTCAATTGATCCCTAAAGACTAAGAAATTGAGTTTGAAGTATGTTGGACTATTTCAAATTTTGTCTAAGGCTAGACCACTAGCTTATGAGTTGGCCCTTCCCTCGAATTTGAGTCAAATTCATAATGTCTTTCATGTCTTCCAATTGAAGAAGTACCGTCTAGACCTGACACATGTCATAAGTTACGAATGACACTGTGCTCTAAGACTATCTATCTTTCGAAGTCGGACCAAAGCGAATCATTGATTGAAAAGTCAACTAACTAAGGAATAAGTAGATTCTTGTCACATCCAGTAATATGGCAATTAGGAATAAGGATATTCCTAAATATTCAAGAGCCAAAAAGGATAAGGAGGAATAAAAAATTTATGGTGGAAAATAATTATTATAATTTTCTAAGTCAATTATGAAAAGTTTGACTAATTAAGAAAAATTGGTCAAGAATAATTATGAAAAAATAATTCCAAGCCTCAGAAAATTAAGAAAAAATAAGGATAATGTTCCTTGAGAATTATATGGAATTATAAAATTGGTTTTATGATCAGATTATCCTTAGAGAAATTACAAAGGAATTTTAGGGTAATTTAGCCTAATTTAAGGGCTTTTATTTGGAAAATTCTAAATAAATATTTTTAAGAAGAATAAAATTTTCAGAAGATTCCTATGATACCCCAAGGAATTATAAGAGATTATGAAATTAAAAGAAGACCCTCAAGTATCCAAGATTTTTCCTAATTCTTTTGAAAAGTGGAAAACTTAATAAAGAGAAGGAAATTAGTTTTCCTTTTTAGTTAATTATTTGGAAATTAATTTTGAGACAAAGAGGGCAATTTGGAAAGATAAAAATAAGGAGAATAAATTATGGATCTGACAGAAATCAAACTCGGAGTAAAAATGCACCGATATATTGATGATTAGAGTCTTACACTTTACTTGGCCCACAAGTTGCCACTTTTCAAGCCTCTATTAGAGAGTAATTAAATCTTTCCAAGTGTCAAGCATTAAGTGGAGAGGATCTTGACTTTGAAATTTAATTACATTATGATTTACTTAATTAAGAGAGAAGTTTCAAGACTAAGTATGAAGGTGACACTTGGCTTTTCATTTATGATGGTTGTTGGGATATTTTGGTGCATTAATTGAGCTCTTCCTCCCCCTAAATCAGATGGAGTTTCGGCCAAGGAGAGATCAAGAGAGAAAAGAGTGAGCTCGAAGGAAAATCAAGAGAAAAGCAAGCTACTTTGATCTTCCAACTAAGATTCAAGCATGGTAAGTTGTTCTAAGATGATTCCTTGCTTGTTTACTTAAGTTGTATGGTTGGAAAATTTTGTTTATCCTCTTCTTAATTGCTAGATGAAATGATCTTCATGTAGGGAAGGAAGTTTTGTTGTTCAAACTTGTTAAAACACTTCAAATCTTGGTTATTTCAAGTGGTTGCATGTTGTTTTTGAAGAGATTTATTTATTATTTCTC